CGGTTAACCAGCTATCATGTCTTGGGTTCGATTCCCGAACGAAGCATATCATTTTGTTTTTCTGAATGAAAAATTCAAACATCGAAAGATAAAAGGAAGAAAAAGTATATCATATAAAACAAGCCGATTGCTTATGTATATATTTTTTAACACCATTAATTTTTACTATGAAATAAGAATCATGTTGACATGGTTCAATTCCCTCACAAATTTTCATGCCATTAAAATTTGCTTTTATCGTAGTTATACTATCATAGTCGTTGTCTTCTTGATTGCCAACAATATCAATTGCTTGTTCATCATCAATGAGAATGTTGTTAATGCTATTATTATTATTCTCTTCTTTATCTTCATCTTCATCGTCAAGATTAAATTCATTATCATCATTATTTATTGTTTGTGTGGAGTAATCAAGCATTTTCCACTTTGAATTTAATTGTTGAAATACATACTTGCTTAATAAATTCATATCAAAGACATCATATTTCTTTAGTAATTTTGGTATTTCTAATCGTTCAGTTAATTGAAGTGCTTGATTAAATGCATCCGAAATAATTTTTTCTATATGTAGTTGATCAATGTGATCTGACTTTGGTAAAAATGGTGGTTGATCATCACGTTTGTTTTTATGATGAACAGGAAACGATAAAGAATCATTATCATCGTGCTGAAATAACTGATTACACTTTATTTTATTCAATATCGATAGTTTTTCTGAGCGACGAAGAAAATCAACAACTGTAAAATTAATTATTGTTGAAAATGCACCACTTAAAGATCTGACGTTTCGAAACACCGATTTACATGATTGAGAATTAAATAGATACATGTTTAATGCTTATTTTGGTGATTGTTTTTGTTTAACTAACAAAATCAGGTAAAGCAGATTGTGTGCATTTAACTCAACTGATAAATAAGAAGTTCTAGTAATAAAACATTCTATTTGGTGTTCTTTGTTGTTGTTGATGTTCCTGTTGACGTAAATTGCTTGTGTTGAATCCAAGTCCACCACATGTGATAAACGAATACAATACACCAAGCTGAGTGTAAACCTGGAAAAGATAACGACGAAAGAAAAACATTTGTTTAACCCTCGATTGTATGTTTAAAATAAAGATGCTTACGCTCATTAATATTAGTTGTCTTTTCAACGTAAGTTTGTATTATCATTTTTTATAAGTGTAAATAGATAAATGTCCCATACGTTTCAGTATCATCGATCAACCTAGACAACACATCACCCGATGCTATTCTAAGACAGGAATTGTAGTTCTGACGATCTTTAGGATTTAAATCTGTTCGTGTTAATCCATGATCTAGTTTGGAATAACTATTGTCTTCAATAATATTAATTAAATGCTTCATTAATACATATTGTTCACCAAGACGAAGTTGTGCCATACTTGACAATAGACAATTTCTCCATTTTGTAACCAAATGAACTGGATCTTGAGAAAACAACAACAGTTGCTTATTTCCTAAATAAAACCTAGGCCATTTTGATATTAGTTTTAAATCAAATGCTTTTTGATATTCGTTTAACTTAAAATGTGGTAGCGATGCAAAGAATCCACTCTCTAGACGCATAGCACGCATATATTTGGCGTTCCTGCCTAATAATCAAAAAGAGAAAATAAAATATAGGTTCATTTTGAATCTGTTCAAAACAGATAATAAAAAGTACAAGTTTACCAGTTAAAAAACTTATAATTCGGATGCTCTTCTTTAAACAGTTATTAAATATGAATAACCACCGATGTAATATGCCAATCGATGCATAAGTGTTAATGACACTATAACCAGATAATAAAAATGGAGCTGAAAGTATTAAATTATTTGTTGATGATAAAGTTTGTATCATTTGTATATTTAATAAGGTTGATTTGTCTAATAAGCTAAATCATGACTTTAATTCATCGAAAGAATTTGTCTGGTAATATTTAGCAACTGGTATTTCATCAGCAAATGGCGTAGCAAATCCAATGAATGAGTTTTTTTGCTGATCATAATGTATTTTTTTCAATACACCGGTGCAATCTTCTGAAGCAAATGCATATTTAGCATCGGTTTGATTGAAATAGTCGTGTCGTATATCAAAGCAAAATTCAGCTTCAGATATTTTAGAATTCTCACTAAAAATTAATTTATTTAATGTCTGTACACTTGGTAAAGCATGTGGTAGATTCATCCTAACAAATTGATACGTCATTCTGCCTCCCAATATGTATAACGATAGAGCAAATTGTTCTATGGATTCAGAATAATGATAAAGATTTGGTGATTTAGATAAATTAATTGTAATAGTATAAATAAATGTTGTCAGAAATGTGTGTTCTTTCTTGTTCACCTTACCGCTTTGTTCATACCAAGTGAATAAAGATTTTAACAGACGGTTGTTATTGATTAAATTGATGAATATCTTTTCTTGTATAATGAATAGATTATTAAAGGTTATATGAAACTTTAAAAATTATTTATTTGTAAGCATAAATTTATTTTATTTTATGTTATTTTTCTTTTATCTTTATTCTTCTATGTAGATTTTCTTGTAGAGAATAATAATGTACATCTGTAGATGGTGATGGTGCTAATATTCCATTAGTACATATGTATAGTTTGTTAGAATTGGTCGAAATTCATTGCGAATTGCAAAACGTCCAATTCCGAATTCATGCTTTTTTCTTCAAATAATAAATGTAAGTGATCAAATTTTTAATAATGAATTTGAATGATCAAATTTTAACTTCTATATAGAATGATAAATATGATCTAATAATTATTATTACAAAGCTTTCGACGAATACGTTCGCCATTGTCAATGTGTGTTGTTACAAAAGATTAATTGAATTCTAATCTTCAATTTATTTCATTATTACTGTATTGATCTTGATCTTTAACACATTCAGTAGGTGTAGATTGAGTAATAATAAAACATGTATGATCCATTTTGTTTCAATAAAAATAATAAGTAATTAATAAATATAATTTAAATGGGATTTTTTCTTCAATAATTTACGAGTGATTATGTTGTTTTTTCAAGATTTAAGCATGTGATTGCTATTGAAATGTTCCCTCTACTGAAAGGAGGGTCTTACGAAAAGTGAGTTAAATGCGTTCGTTCGTAAGTTCGACCGCACAGAAAGAATAAATGTTTTTTTGACCTCTTTTATGAAAATGCGCTAAAACGTTTCTCTGATGCTTTTGGGGTCGGGGAATCCGATTCCGTTGTTAGTTTTTTGAAATTTTGCTTTTTGCTTTTTTTAAGGCAGAGAAAGACTTTTTTAGGAAGAAAATGTTATTTTTATAAGGGTTGACTGAAAGTAATCGGGGTCGGGGAACTCGAATCCGAGATCAGATTTTTGAGATTTTGCTTTTTACATTTTTTTTTAGGAGAGAGAGAGACATTTTCAGAAAAAAAAAATTTTTATAAAGTTTGACCAAAGATAATCGGGGTCGGGGAATTCGAGTCCGAGATCAGATTTTTGAGATTTTGCTTTTTATTTTTTTTAAGGCAGAGAAACACTTTTTTAGGAGAAAAATGTTTTTTTTATAAGGGTTGACCGAAGGTAATCGGGATCGAGGAATCCGAATCCGTGATCGGATTTTTGAAAATTTGGTTTTTGCTTTCTTGAAGGCAGAGAAACGCTTTTTTACGAAAAAAATGTTTTTTTATAAGAGACGTTCCACATAAGCCACGAACGAAAGTGCTCAATCGATAGTCTGGAATTCGACTCATTTTTACATATGTGATGGAGGCAAGTGTTTGATGAATATAGGCGCAACCCTATTCAAAAAATATTGAACCGCGCGTTTTTCATTGCACTTTTACTGTCTGTACGCTAAAATCATCCAAAACCCACCTTCACGAGGTACAATTTTGGACGCTCTCAAAATTAAACAAAACATTAACAGTTTAAGTTGCAAGTTTTGATGTACTGATATTTAACTTAGCTCTACATGCTCCGTAAGTTTCAACTGAATCGGATGGTTTGTTGGTATTTTATGGAAGCTACAATTCGATAAAATTTGAATTTTTGAACCAACTTCCATTGCTTATATCTCTCCACATGAGAATGACGTGGAGCTGGAATTTTGAAGACCCGCATATCTTGACCTTATCTAACTATCATATAAATTTCAGTCCTCTAGGTAAAAGCATCCATGTAGGGTAACTGGAACAATGGCCGATTTTTCGTCAAAAAGTTGATTTTTGACCTCCATTTTCTCGTAAGAAATACCCTAACTATTTTATTGGCCTCTCTAACGTTGAAGGGCACACTTGAATCTACAACGTGAGATAAAAATAAACTTGGAACAACTAAGAGCCGTGGTGAAATTGCGCCATCTTTCTTGCAAAAAAGCTGTTTGTTACTGAGTTAGGTACTCAATAACTTTTGATTGGGAGTAATTGAAGTTATGAAATTTTTATCATAGATAAAGGAGAACAAGATCTATGATCGCTAAAAATTTGAGTTATCTTTATTGTTCCAAGCAGCCAGAGCAATCATCCAAAAAATGGATTTTTGGTCAAAATGTCAACTTTCAGATTGCATTAAGCCACCAAGTAAGGATTTTTCAGAGGATCCATGTATAGAAGTTAGAAGTGCTCACTGTAAGGTGCAAGAGTGGAAAAATATTACGCTGATATGTCTCAAAATGTTAGTAGGAAAACTAGCGAAATACTAAAAAGTAGCACCTTTCTATAGCATATCTGTCCAAGGTTTCCTATAAATGCGACGAAGAGCTTGAAAATATGATATGAATTGTTTCCAAAAAAAATCAGCGTATGATTCTCAATGGCCTTTCGTAAAAAGTATCCAAGAAACTTACAAGATAATGACTTTCGAAAAACTTTCGTGGGGGGATATGGGGATGTTATAGTAATATTTTCCCGAAAATGGACGCTAGACGGCTGCGAGAAGTATTTGGAAAACAGTCTGGTTCCAGCTTTTGCTATTTTCTTCTGGTGTATATCCCAGAATTGTATGACAGGTTTTACTGAGAACACATCATATGGTATTTTGAAGCTCTTCGGATAATTTGTAGGGGACCTTGGACAGATATGCTATAGAAAGTTGCTACTTTTAGTGTTTTTACTAGTTTTTCTACTGCTATTTTCAGACATATCAACCTAATTTATTTCGAGACTTGTACTTTACACTGAGCATTTCTAACTTCTACATATGGACCCTCTGAACAATCCTGAAATCCAGAGTTAATGCAGCCTGAAAGTTGACATTTCGATAAAAACCTCATTTTTCGGATGATTGCCCCAACTGAATGAAACAATAAAGATAACCTAAATTTTCATGGATGATAGATATTGTTATCTTCTATCTATGATACAAATTTTCGGAACTTCAGTTTCCTCCAATCAAAAGTTACTCAGTACCTAACTTACCCAAAAAAACTGCTTTTTTGCAAAAAAGATCAATTAATTTCACCACGACTCATGCGCATCCTAAGTTTATTTTTATACCAGGTTATAGAGTCAAGTGTGCTCTTCAACGTTCGAGAGGTCAGCGAAAAAGCTAGCGTATATTTTTGGAGAAAATGGAGGTCCTTATTCCCGACCTAAAAACTTTCTGACACCTCGGGTGGTTCCCTCGTTAGACTAATGCATTCAACATGTATAACTTACGTACTAAGTTCAACCCTCTTCCGCCTCTATTGCAAATCATCTAATCTGATTATAAGGATACATATCCAGCATTAATTCAAATTTTCTTTGCATACAAATTTAAACTCTTTTTTATTTTCGTTGATACTAAACATTTACCATGGCTTGACATGTACTTACATACAAAAATAGAATCCTTATTTTTCGTT